GAAAAAAACAAACTTTGATGGTTACCGGGGGAGGAATAGGGAGGGGAAATCACTAACTAGATAGTAGACAAGTGGTAACTTTGGTGAAGGGAAAGACAACACATAATATAGGGGAAGTCAGTACAACTTGACCAAGGCAAAGTCATAGAAGCTTCCTAGACACATCCCAGCACCTTAAGGGACTGAGTTGCTGGGGCTGAGGGCTGGGGACCATGGTCTTGGGAGACATCTAGGTCAATTGGCATAACATAGTTCATAAAGAAAATGTTCCATATCCTACTTTGGTGAGTAACATCTGGGGTCTTAAAAGCTTGCCAGCGGCCATCTAAGATACATCTACTGGTCTCATCCTGTCCAAAGCAAACGAGAATGAAGAAAACCAAAGGTAAAGGAAAACAGCCAAAAGACTATAAAAGGCCACATGAACCACAGCCTCCACCAGCCTGAGCCTAGAACTAGATGGTGCCTGGGTACTGCCACCTACCACTCTGACAGGGATCACAGTAGAGGGTCCTGGACAGAGCAGGGCAAAAATGTAGGAAAAAATTCAAATTCATAAAAAAGACCAGACTTACTGGTCTGACGGAGACTGGAGGAATCCCTGGGACTGTGGCCCCCATACACCCTGCTAACTCAGAACTTAAGTCACTCCTGAAGTCCACTTTTCAGCCAAAGAGTAGAGAGGCCTATAAAACAAACAATAACACACTTGAGGATCGTGCTTCTTAGTTCAATCAAGGGTACGGACCAAATGGGCAACACCTGCCCAAAAGCAAAGACAAGAAGGCAGGAAGGGACAAATAGACAGACATGGGAACCCGAGGTGGAAAGGGGGAGAATGCTGACACACTGTGGGGATTGCAACCAATGTTACAAAACAATTTGTGTATAAATTTTTGAATGAGAAACTAATTTGCGCTGTAAACTTTCACCTAAAGCAAGATATTTTTTTCTCCCATTTTCCTGAATACTAGTGAAGTTGACTAGTTTTGCATGGTTTTACTGGCTGTCCCAGGCCTCCTCTTTTGGTAACTGCCTAATCGTCTTTTGCCCATGTATCTTTTGATCAGTGAGAGAGTGGATAAGAGGAGAGAGAGAAGACAAAGTACATGTGTGTTTATATTCTGCATGTGAATCCTCTGTCAACTATGTATTATAAATGTCTTCTCCCAATTTGATTTGCCATTTCACTGTTTATAGTATCTCTATAGTTCAAGTAGTCTGTATTTTTTTGTGTCTTAGTACATAAAACCTTTCCTGACCCCCAATACCATATATTCTCCTCTGTCATCTTTTCACATTTAAGGCTTTAGTCTATTTCGAGTTGATCTACATGAGTTCATGGTTCAAATTCTTTTGTTTCAAATAGATAACCACTAGCATACCAGTCATTGAAAAGTCTGTCCTGTTTCCTGTAGATCTGCAGTGCTGGCTGTCAGGAATTGTTTCCATACATGTGCATGCTTGTTTCTGGGGTCTCTATTCTCTTTGGTTATTTATCCTTAGGCCAAAACTAGGTGTCCTGGTGGCACAAAGGTTAAACACTCAGCTTCTAATCGAAAGTTGGTGGTTCAAACCCATCCAGTGGCTCCATGGGAGAAAGACCTGGTGATCTGCTCCCATATGGATTTCGGCCTAAACCCTATGGGGCAGTTCTACTCTTGTCACATGGGGTTGCTAGGAGTTGGAATCAACTCAACAGCACCTAATAACAACATGCCAACATTACAATTTGAATATAGATTGATACTTATTCTTGCTATCTGGTAAGGCTAGTCTCCCCGCTCCTGACCTATTGTTCTTTAAGAGTGTTTTGGCTATTCTTGGTCCTTTGCTCTCCTGGACTAGAATAAATGCTGTCCATTTTCCAAATGTTCCATCTAAGAGCTAACTGAATTTGCAGTTAGGCAAGGAAGATAGGAAAAAGGTTGTTCTGATCAGTAAACCTGAGAGGAAACGTGCTTACTGAATTTTACTTGGTTATAAGAATAAATTTCACAAAATTTTAGATTTAAAATGACAATTATGGTCATAAAAGATGTTTTCTTCTTTATCATGCAATCTCTACAAACTATATTAATATAAATGTGACTTTAAACCTGTTTAGTTGGTTGTGCTGTTTTTAATCACAAATTTAATTAACAATGAACTTGGACCGCTTCCCTGAGCAGGAATACAGATAATGCCTGGCCAATGAGGCCACATGAGACTATAATTAGATCTCATGAAATAATGGTCTCAAATTATTTTAAGTGCTTATAATTTTTAGTAATATGCAAGCCCATGCACAAATATCAAAAGGGAAACTCAACTGGGAGTGTGTAATGTGCTGATAACTGTTTACTAAGGGAATAGAGAATTTTAATGTACACATTCAGCCTGGGAAACTTTGTATTGTTTATTAAATAAAGCAAAGAAAACAAGAGAGGAATCATCACAGTGGGAAAGAAGGTCACCAGATAAACCTTTTTTTTACTACTGTTTCCTGTTCTGGTAGTTCTGCAATCCATTCTGAGAACTTCATTCCCCTTACCCAGGTCACAAATTTCCCATTTCCTGTGACTTGTCTCTACCACCTCCCCAATTCGTGAGCTGCCAAATCCTAAGGCTTTCAAATAGATAAAGACAGTTAATTTGCTGAAGAGCACTGAGTTCTTCAGTAAACAACTTCTTCCGGGATATCACTCGGTCTGTATGACTGGAACTTTGCATCAGAGTAAGAACTGAATCAATTTATTATTGTGCCATGTCTATTAGGTCTACATCCATAACAAGTCGACTCATCCTTGCCTTTCTTCTGCAACTATATAGCTACAAAAATGGTTTTGGGGGTGGCAAAATTTTTCAGTTAGCATCTATCTACATTTTTACAGTTTATAGACGGCAGCTGTGCAGGGTTATGCATTTAGGAGAGACATTCAGGAAGTATCAGTTATGATAATAAGGATTTTAAAAAGCCGTATTCTCATAGTCTCTGAAATTTCCAAGCAGTGAAGATGCTACCATGTTTTAACTAGCTAGCCTAAAAACTGCAGCAACCCTCATGAAACTTGACTATAAACCAAACCTGTTGCCATTTAGTCAGTTCCGACTCATAGTGACCCTACAGGACAGAGCAGAACTGCCCCAAAGGGTTTCAAAGGAGCAGCTAGTGAATTTGAACTGCCGACCTTTTGGTTAGCAGTCGAGCACTTAACCACTGCCCCACTAGGGCTCTCAAAAAAAACAAGTATAGGGAGTAGAAATAATTATGAAAAGCATTCCTTTATGTATGCCTTCCAGAGGCTCCAAAAAAAAAAAAAAAAAAAAAGGTTTGAGTAAAAAACTAACATTTTACTGAGAAGCTACCATGTTCAATTTAGGTACAGTGCTGGGTACTTTAAACCTTTTGTTTAACTCCATGTATTTTTCCACACAAATTAAGGGTCAGGAACTTGGTCAAGGTCAGCTACCTATCTACTTAAGAAATCTGAGCCCAGTTTGGTCCAATCCCACTACATCACTAATGATAAACTAATTAATAGCTAAATATGGGAGAAAACTTAAAACATACATTTAATGACTTTTAACACGAAAGAGCAAGAGTTACCAGTATATGTAAGAAAAAAAGACAATCTGCTCCCACCTTTAGCTTATAGAAGAGTGAGGGTCAAGAACTGTTAAGCAGCTTTCCTTTTACAAAGTTTATGTTCTCTAGCTCCCTGACTTTTGAAGTTCAAGGTTATGTAAAAAAAAATAATTTGTACCAAGTTAAGATTACTGATTAACTATATCAGGGCTTCCAGCAGGTCTCTTACTTGTTGATTAAAGAGCAACAAGAGTTGGAAGGGACCTTGGTTGGCGTCCTGACTCCAGTGCCTTCATGTCCACACGACATTGAGTCACAAAGCAGAAACCAGGTCTTTTGAGGCTCCATCCAGCATTTTCACTGACCCATGTTGTTTGTCTAGAGATTGCCGCTACCAAACAGCAATCTGTCTACTGTTGAGAGCTGGAATGCTCGCTACCAAGAGGGTTCCTCAGGGTTCAAGAAGCACGTGTTTTAAAGACTTGTTCGCTAGGGACATGGAAACAACAGAAGACCTCTGAGCACTTGACTGGGGACTTCGGCTTTTGTTCTGTATGCAACTAGGAATCATCAGAACTGTAATATAGCCAGTGTTGTGCTGTGGCTAGAGAAACCTAGAAATAAATCATTAGGAAAGCAGTGGGGCAAGCAAGAGGCAGAGAAATCAGCAAAGAGGCCATTACTATGTGTGCGGAAGCAGTGGGACCAGAAAGGACTTGGGCAAGACACAGTTTAAATGAAATATATTTTAGGGCTTTTACCAAGTGACTATACTTGTTGGTGACCTGTATTTCAGATGAGGAAAGGAAATAATATGTATTTTTAATTTTACTGGGAAAGAGCTTTTGAATTTTGGAGTGCAGACTGATATGATATGGCCTTGCAGTACAAAGAAAAGCCACAGAGAATGTGATTAGAGCTTTAAGAAGCTGCTGCACTACAGCAGGCACAGGACAAAGACCTGAATTCAGGTGATGGTAACAGCAGTGACAAGACAAGGACACAGGGCTGTGTCAGGAAAAATCAACAGTACTTGACCTGAGTAAATGCAAAGGGTAAAGGAGAAAGTCCAGGACTGAATTTTGAGTTTGAATGATGATAGTACTAACAGTGAGTAAATTTGTAAATGTGCTGAATGTGTTTTGAGCAAGAATCATTTTGCTGTTCAAACTTAACAATGTCTGTTCATCTGTTATATTTCTGTTCATAACTCATTTCTAACGTTTAAATATTATACATTCATTTTTAAGTATTCAGAAAAACGATAGGTCTCAATTTAAGTGGAAGACTATCTTAGAGTTAAGTGTATCATGTGACACTGAAATATTCACAACACAAGAGCTAGGCAAAGCATTTCTAAAACGCAGAAGTTAATTTCTGTAAAGTTAATGCTACATAAACAGCAAAAACAAGAAGTACAAAAAGAAACAAGTATTAAATAAAAGGTTTCGCTTTTATTTAAAATAAAATGCATTTATACAGTCTTTAAACCATGGATTATTGGACAATACTGGTAATCCACCTCTCCCTGGCACCCTTTTGGGCTATGTGAGCTAGGAATTTTCTGACTAGCACCAATGCAGATCGTAATAGCGCAACAGACTAGAACACGGCCAGTCCAGGCATTAGAGTTAAGGACGTTGTGGCAAATCATGACTATAATGAAGTCATTCTTAATTTAGCAGATATTAAAATTGCATATAATTAATTGCTACCAGACTGATATTTATATCTTTTAAAAGCACTTAATTAATGCAAAGATGCTATTATCTAAGCCATTTGCTAGTTGTGAGTAGTTTTTAAAAAAAACTGTACAATTTTATAAAATTTGTGTTTGTACATTAGTTACACAAAAATGCATACTTCATAGACCTTTATTTCATATTGTAATGCAAAAGTTGCATATTTTAGGCAGTGAATATGCTGGTGAATGCTAAAAGTGTTGTAATACAATATGGTGTAAAAATAAAAACACAAGACAATATACATGCTTACTGAAGGACAAAAACAAACCAAGCATAACGGACTAACAGCATTTCCTTCAAGGTCATTATTAAATATCAGGCATCTTTTGCAGGCCTGATTTATGTAGGGGAAAAAAAATCAAATGGCGAGCAGGGTATTTTAAAACATGAGGTCAAATTAAATACACATTAAAACACATGCATTAAACATGATAAATAGACTTCATATAATTTAAGCCCTGGATAGCTTTAAAGTAGATGGCTTGTTTTCTTACAGTTTGGCTAGCTTAAATCAGTGATGTTTTGTTTCTGATTTTGCCCATTACTTCAGTTTTCAATTCATGGCCCTAAGGAATGTGTGCCACATTCAACAGTCCATTTATTGTATCATGATAGCAGATTAATAGTCGTGCTTGTTAGTGCACATATTAACTGGTTTGGTAAGGCAAAAAGTTTTCATGATAAAATGATAAATTTCAAGCTTACTTTATTAAGCAGCATATAACAACAGCTTTTAAAGTTAAATATGGCCATGGAGTTTCATTACACAGTATTTCCTATTCACACCCAACCACTGGTAAGTTTGTAGAACATCTCTTCATCTAAACTCTCATTTTGGTCTTTTGCACGTGTTGAGAGAAATATGTAGCCACCAATGAATTCATGAACCACTTTGCAGTCTACTTCAGTACAAATGAAGGACAATCGTACTTCATCTGCAAATTCTACGGTGACCTGGAACAAAGACAAAGAGCCATCAGGCCCAGGTAAGACTTAAGATGCCTGGGTCCAAGTGAAGCTTCTGTGTTGTTTTAGGTCTAGTCTATCACGAAATACTTCTTGACATTCAAATAATTAGTTTTTAAAAATCCTAAACTAGTAACGCCTTCAAGTCCAAAAGAAGAAAAGTTTACTAACCCCAGGGATGGATTACCCAATAAGGAGTTACAAACGGGCTTAATTAATTGTGCTTACTTACTAATCTATAGTGCACAATTTTATCTGTTTTTCACCACAGTTTCACATGTGAAACTTTTAAGCCTGTGGTGCCTTGCTTACTGGTTACTCTGCCCCTGGCTAACCCTCCCCCCACCTCCCTTTCTAGGACTGAATGCAAGGGATGTAGGTCATTAAGTTCCCAAGTGGTCTCTGGTGATTCAATTAATGAGAATGTCTCTCCTTAAGTCCTGGGAGAAAACCAACTTCCTGTGTTTAATGTTTTAGATATTTAACCTTTAGTTGTCATGTTTGAATATTCCAGAAATGAGATCCTATGAAGTAAACTGATACAACAAACACAGTATGACCCTAAGACTCATTAGTAAAAGATTCTATTTATTTGAAATGATCTTCACATATTCCAAGGCTAGGGCAGCACGGTATAGTGAAGTGTGCTTGGTTTTTGAGCCCAAAGGATCTAAGTTTAAATCTTGACTCTGTTACTTAACAAGTGTGTGGCCATGGATACAGATAGTCCTTAGGCCTCTAAATTTTAGTGTCCTCAATTTTAAAGTAGGAATAATCCATCGACCTTGCAAGGCTGTGGTGAGGTTTAGAGATAGGGTACAAATGTAAAACATCTAGTATCATGCCTGGTAGAAAACAGGCATTCCAAAATTCCATAAACAGTAGGTACTACTGTCAGTGGAAGGGACTGATCCATTACAGAAAGATAACCTTAAGAAAGATCAGGCAATATTCTAAGGAAATCATTATGGCCTTACAACTTCAATAAATGAGTTAGTTATGAAATAAGTTTAAGTAGGAAAGGAATAACCAACCATCTTCTACAGTTTAAGAGGTAATGGTACAGAACATTTTCAGAATTTATAAGCCTTTTTTTCTTAATTTACTAATTTTTAAAGGACTACTTAAATGTATTCAAATAACATTGTAACTAGCTTACCATTTTTATTTCCCAGTTTACATTCCACTGTTTCATGTTGCTGAAACGCCATGTTTTAATTGCATCTCCTGTGCTGGCATCCATCCTAATCAGTCTGTTGTATGCAATTCCAATAAGTTCTTCTTTTTTGCCCCCTTGAAACCTATAACAACATTAAAAAACATGCTTAGTCTTTTTCCTCAAGACATGCTTTTTAATTCTAAAAAGTGCCATTCTTGTATGAATAAAAACAAATGCAACCGGAAATACCACACTGAGTTTTTAATGTAAAAATTGTTAAGTATAAAGAATACATTCCAACATTCTTTAAGTTTTACTGTAAAAACAGGTTAACAACTCTAGGTAGGCATACTTTAAGTGTCTGATTTCTAATTACGTGAAGTACATTAAGTAAAAATTTAGAGTAAGGTTTACATAAAGGTACTTAGTAGAACCACTGACCTTGCAATGAAGTGTGTGATGCCAAATTCTGGCAGAGACTGCCAAGCTTGAATAAATCTCATCTTGGCTTCAATTAGACTCATCTGAGCTACATTTTGATGGGCTTCCAGAATTCTTGCTGTTATCTAAACATGATTAAATATCACCTTTACATTAGACATTATTCTTTCACAGTAGAATCAAGTTAAAAAACTTAAAAGATTGAATTATACACCCCACCCTCAAAATCATGTATTACAAAAGTTAGAAAGTATCTGATAATGACTTTGCTAAATAAGCTGCCTAAGACATCCCTTAATTTTAGTTTTCATACATAAGAAATAAAAAATACTACTAGAAGTACATAATTGCCACTCTTGAGACATACTCAATGTACACATGTATCTGACGCTACTATATAAAACAGCATACTCTAATCCTGGTATACACGATGAGTTTTAAATTTAGCTTCAAGATACATGATCAGAATAACCTAGAATATTAGCTTCTAGCAGAAGTATTTGTTAGCAGCTTTAAAGTACTTGAAATCACCATAAACCTGTCGTGCTTGAGGTGATTCTGACTCATAGTGACCCTACAAGACAGAGTAGAACTGTTCCATAGGGTTTCTAAGGCTGTAATCTTTACAAAAACCAACTGCCACATATCGGTGGGTTCGAATCATTGCCCTTGCAGTTAGCAGCCGAGTGCTTAACCACTGTGCCACCAGGGCTCACCATAATAATTAAAAAAGTTTTCTAAAGAAATTGTTTGTTTGTTAGGTGCCGTCCAGTCAATTTTGACTCACAGCGACCCCATATGACAGAGTAGAAGAGCCCCGCAGGGTTTTAGGCTGAAATCTTTACAGAAGTGGAACGCAAGGTTTTCCTTCTGTGGAGCCTCTGGGTGGGTTCAAACAGCTAACCTTTCGGTCAACAGCCAAGCGCTTAACTGTTGTGCCACCAGGGCTCCTTTTAAAAAAGTTAATTTTTAAATTTATATTCCTTTTGGGATGACTGCTTCCACAAGAGATGGGGAAGGATTAATTAATCTGTGAGGGGAGGTTGTGACTAGCATTTTAAACATTTAAAAAAAATTTTTTTTTTTTTTTTGGTAAATGTAGATAACTTACCAAATCTCTTATATAGCCTGGCTGTAGATGGCAATGCGAGGAAAGAAAAAGAAAGCAGAAAGAAAAAAAATGGCAATCAGAAAAAAATGGCAATGAAGCAGAGAAAAAGTTGTGGTCACCTGCAAACCAAAATTCCAGCCAAAAACCATGCAAAAAATTACTTTAGATGGAAACCAAGCAAAGTAAATGCAAGCATGAAAATGAAAATGAGGAAGCAGTAATTACTTTCATTCAGAATACTGAGAAACACTCCACATTATTTTAGAATGTTAAGAGTTACTAAAATTAAGGGCAGACATTTGTAGGCAGAAAAATACAGGGAGCAAATAACTCTCACACCCTTACATACCAGGTTCTTACTGGTTAGGATAAAGCTCATTATCTTAGTAGCAAAATCAAAATTAATATTCAAAAGCCTTAAATGTTGCCTTAGATTTAGTGATAGAACATGATCCATGCACTGCTTTTCAGAAATAAGTAGAAGTTGAAGGCAAAAAAATAAGTCCAAAGACCATACTATTTACACAAAAGAAGCAAACTCCTCAATTACCATCTGCTTTTTACATCCTTTTTCCTGGAAGGGAAAATAAAGAGATGCCACACACTACACTAGGAACAGTGGCTAGAATGTATTAGTCTATCTCAATTTGAATTAACAAGATTAAAAATGTAGAACTTTTCTATAAAATTTTAAAATCCAATTTGGGAGTCATACTCATTTAAAAATACCCACAGCAATTAATTAACTGAATACATGTATGTTGTCGTTAGCTGCCATCGAGTCGGCCCCCCACTCATGGTGATCCCACGTACAACAGAACGAAACGTTGCCTGGTCCTGCCTCATTCCCATAGCTGTTGGGAATCAGATCACTTGATCTACAGGATGATTTCTGAAGTAGATCACCAGGCCTTTCTTCCAAGTCCGTCTTAGTCTGAAAGCTCTGCTGAAACCTGTTCAGCAGCATAACAACATGCAAGCCTCCACTGACAGAAGGGTGGAGGCTGTGCATGCGGTGCATTGGGCACTATGTCCAACAACCAGCACAACATCTGATACACAGTAGCAACTAAACTTCTATCAGCACTTATAGGTTGTTCCTAGAGGGTACTGGCCATGTATCATTGTCTAGCACCTAGTAAATCTAGTCAGGGGAAGGGATTAAAAGAGAATGTGCATTTCATAAGACACCAACATGGAAGACAAGGTGCCTTAGCAGGATCCTGAAGCATGGACCCCACACATACTGCCCTCCTGTCAGTTAAAGATGAGTAACACACAGTCTTTATCCTTAGGAGAATTTTTCATTGACCACTTAGTCCAGAATTCAGATGGACAACTATAATTTTAAAGTGAAAACTATCATTTTAAAGGCTTCTGGTAAAACAAGTCAATACATATCTTTGATAGCTAAATCAACATTTGGAGTCCTCACAATTAATTCTGTAAACTCTTTTTTTCCTAATACCTGATAGTGAAATGATAAAATTGCTAAGATTTGAAATTATTCACTGTCTTTGAAGGCAAGTGAATTCACTTTTACAAACAAGTTTCTTTACAAGTAACAAGTTTCTTTACAAGTAACTTTTAAGTGAAGTAACTAAGAATAAAAAATGAAATTAGTACTTCACTTTTCCTTTTTAACTTATACTCTACATTCCACAAAACTCCCCAGGGCAGCATTTCCTCCATTCCTTACTACTCCCACATCGTATGACTGTGGAATAAACAATTTCCATGTAGCTTACACAAGCTCTGAAACTTAAAGACAAATACTCTGTGACTAAAACTTTTGCATAATTTCACTTTTCAACAATTCCAACTAAGTGATTTCAGACCCATATAAATTAACATATTTAAAGTATATTATAAGGAATATTCTGGGTATTTCATTGGGCTTTTTCAGTATGTTTTAAAATTATTCCTTAAAGATAAAAATTAAACTAGATGAAAACAAAGTATTTATTTTAAAGGTCTTCTTTTCTCCCCCTAAAATGAAGCCTTTTCCCTTTTATGGCATGATGTTTGATGTGGAGAATACCGAGGGCTATCCCAAATGAAATTCCCCTGCAAAAGGCCTTTTATGTTGTACTGACGAACCTTTTCCCTAAACAGCAATCCTTTTATGGTATTAACTTCCAGGAAAGGAATTCTAAACAGAGGCGACAAAAGCAGTGAATTACAGTGAGGAAATTCACCAAACTTCATCCCCTTATACAAATCGTGGTTAGGTCCTGACTGTTGATGTAAACAAGACTATGTGAAAATGCAGTAAATGTATGTACCCCTGTTAAATGTATTTCCAAAGCCAGAAAAGTTTCATTTAGATAGCATGATTAGGTATTTTAGATTTGTTGGGAAATGTAGACTGTGTTTTATATCACCTTTACTTAGTAATGACACAAGGAATAAAACTGAATGAACTAGGAACACAAAGTATTGAGACCCTGAAATGTTTAATTTCTTCAGGTTGTTAAGAATAAATACAGTTTCAACTACTATAACAATTATCTGTCCTACTAAGAAGATGTAAATCTTTTAAAAAATGACCAATTTAAAGTGACTTAAGGCTATTTCCTATTTTATATTCTAACTACCTCAAACAGAATTAAGACTAAAAAGTTTTAAGAAGGAAAACTAAGTTTGCTTATGTATACAATTATAAAACAAACCAGCAAAGTAGATGAAGTAAAATGAATCAAGTACCTGCTTGTTCTTGTACTTTTTTAGATAGCGAGGGGACACCAGACATTCAGGATTTATATCAGTTGTGATCTGCTCTGGTATTAACTGAGGATCTGGGTTTAAATGTTGCATCTTCAGAAAGGAAAGAATGTTTTGAACTTCCAAGTTGTAAGAACTGTCTGCCATGGTCTTGCCTTTGGAGGCTAATCTGCATGCCGCCATCCAGTGTGCATACTGCTTTTCCTATTGAAAAGAAATAGTGATGTATATAATATGTATCACATGATGAGTCTTTTGAGTGTAAAAGGAACCAAAGAAAGTTTAGGTTTACATTTTAATTGGAAAACTTACATTGTCACAACGAAGCCAGATTTCATTCATGCCTTCTGCAACTGGAATCAGGAGTTTAATGTTAAATTTCTGGCCTGAAATGTTTACATCTGGGGTAACTTCACAACCTATAACAAAATAAATCAGTTTTATTTATTTATTTAAGAAATCCCGAACCAATACAGAACCTTCATTTTATGGCATCTTAACGTTGAATTTTGCGGTTATGGAATCTATAAATCAAAGACTAAATTCTTCACGCACAGTAATTTTGTTTGAGGTGAATCTTTTTTTGATACAAACATTCTATTCTGCTCACAATCTCTAATCCTCCTAAACCTCTTCAAACTCTTTGACGGATCCTATCCTGCAATCCCTCCCCTCAACGTTCTCCCCATCTGTACCTTGTTTTCACCTCTCCCTTCTCCAGTCTGGACCCTACACGTTGGATATCATCTCCAACTGTCTTTACATTATATCCACTCAGCAAAACCTTAACCCTAGCTCAATCTAAGCATCCATCTTTTACTTGCCTATACTCAGGCTGCTTAGCATTGTAAGAGGGAATAAAAAATATCACAAAACTGAGCACACAGGTTTCACTAGAAATTCATGGATCCCAACTCACCTGGCCCTCGAAACAGACAACCTTCTGTGTTTATGTAGACATTCTCAGGAATGTCTACCATATTTTTACGCAAATAATGTTCGTCTTCTATGTTTGTCAATGGCACCCTGCCCCCACGAGGGATTTTCATAAGTGCTGCTGTGTCAATTTTTTTTTTTTTTTACATGTTGCTGTATTAAAAAAAATTTGCATAGCATGTACAAACATACCTTGTGGAGGGACAGCGGGGTTGGCAAACAAACAGAAGGTGTGTGTTATTTGAGTACAAACATGGTATTTCAAATCTTCTCAAATCTCCTACAATGCTGCTCACTCTCAGGGGTCAACCTAACCTCTTACTTCTCAAAGAAAATGAGAACCATCAGAAGTGAAGTCCCTCAGCTTCCTGCCACCACACCAGATAAAACTAGCTGCCTTTGATTCCACACAGTGCAAGTGTCATCTCTCCTCCTAAAGCTCTCCTATCCAAGTGAACTCTGAGTCTATCTACCATACCAGGAATCTTGCTCCATCGAGGAGATCCTCTCTCCTGGATAATAGATATTTTCTCTCTACTGTCACTTTTCCATTGGCCTTTAACTTGAGTCTCCTACTTTAAACACAAAATATCTCCCTCTTCCACATTACACCTGCTTCTTCCCCCTTCCTCATCACAGGTAAGGTTCATTAAAAAGCTCTTTGTTTCCTATTTACTTCTCAATGACTATACTTTGGCCTCCATACTCCATTGCACTTCCAAATTAAAAAGTTTTGTGCAGCAAAGGACTTTAGCAAGAAAATGAAGAGACAGAGTGGGAGAAAATATTTGTAGATCATGTATCTGATAAGGGTTTGACATCCAGAGTATATAAAGAATTCCTATAACTCAACAAAAAGAAACGCAATTTTAAAAATGGGTAAGAACTTGAATAGACAACATTTCACCAAAGTAGATACACAAATGGCTAATAATTAATAAGCACATGAAAAAATGCTCGACATCATTAGTACTAAAAACCAGACTAGTTCCTGTCATGTCGACTTGAACTCATGGAAATCCCATGTGTGTCAAGAGTAGAACTGTGCTCCAGAGAGGTTTTTTTCTTCATTGTGGTTAAGAGAAGCACAACAAAATCATTGTGGTTAAAATAAGCACAACAAAATGTTTGCCAGTTCAATAATTTCTCCATGTTATAATTCAGTGACACTGATTACATTCTTCATGTTGTACAACCATTAGTGCTATCCTTTTCCAAATTATTCTAGCACCATTAACATAAACTCAATGCTCCCTAAGCAAAAACTCTCCCTGTCCCCGTCCCTCCCAACACTGATAAGCATTAATGATCTTTGGTTTCTATATATTATGGTGACTCCATCATGTGTACAGGAGAACCGCTCCATAGTTTTCTTGACTGTAATCTTTACAGAAGCACATTGCCAGGCCTTTCTTCCATGGTACTGCTGAAGGGGTTAGAACCACCAAACTTTAGGTTAGCAATTGAGCACAAACTGTTTGCATTACCCAGGAACCATACAGGTTGTCATGAGTTGGAACTGACTCAACGGCAACAGGTTTTATGTAGACGGCCTTATATGAATGATATAAGGGGATCCTATGGTATTTGTCTTGAGACTGTCTTATTGCACTCAGCATTGTTTTCAAGGTTCATCCATGTTGTAGCATGTACCAGGACTTCATTTCTCTTTATTGTTGTTGCTGTCGTTGTTATGCTTGAGCCCACTGTTGCAGCCACTGGGTCAGTCCATCTCGTTACGGATCATCCTCTTTTTCGCTGACCTCTACTTCACTAAGCATGATATCCGTCTCCAGAGACTGGTCCCTCCTGATAACATGTCCAAAGTACGTGAGACGAAGTCTTGCCATCCTTGCTTCTAAGGAGCATTCTTGGCTGTACTTCCGAGACAGCCTTGTTCATTATTCTGGCAGTCCATGGTATATTCAACATTCTTCACCAACACCATAATTCAAACGCCTCAATTCCTCTTCTGTCCTTGTTCACTGTTCAGCTTTCACATGCACATGAAGCAAATGAAAACACCATGGCTTGGGTCAGGTGCACCTTAGTCCTTAAAGTGACATCTTTGCTTTCTAACACTTTAAAGAGGTCTTTTGCAACAGATTTGCCCAAATGCAATGCGTCATTTGATTTCTTGACTGCTGCTTCCACAGGTGTTGATTGTGGATCCAAGTAAAATGAAACCCTTGACAACTTCAATCTTTTCTCCATTTATCATGATGTTTCTTACTGTTCCAGTTGTAAGGATTTTTGTTTTCTTTATGTTAAGGTGTAACCCATACTGAAGGCCGTAACCTTTGATCTTCATCAGGAAGTGCTTCAAGTCCTCGTCACTTTCAGCTAGCAAGGTTGTGTCATCTGCATATCACAGGTTGTTAATGAGTCGTCTTCCTCCAATCTGATGCCATGTTCTTCTTCATATAGTCCCGCTTCTCGGATTATTTGCTCAGCATACAGACTGAATAAGTATGGTGAAATGATACAACCCCGACACACACTTTTCCTGATTTTAAACCACACAGTATCTCCTTGTTCTGTTCGAACAACTGCCTCTTGGTCTACGTGCAGATTCTGCATGAGCACAATTAAGTGTTCTGGAGTTCCCATTCTTTGCAATGTTATTCATAATTTATTTATGATCCACACAGTCGAATGCCTCTGCTAGTCAATAAAACACAGGTAACCACCTTTCTAGTATTCTCTCTTTTCAGCCAAGATTCACCTGACATCAGCATGATATCCCTCGATCCACATCCTCTTCTGAATCTAGCTTGAATTTCTGGCAGTTCCATGTCGATGTACTGTTACAACCGCTTTTGAATGATCTTCAGCAAAATTTTACTTATGTGTGATATTAATGATATTATTCAATAATTTCTGCATTCTGTTGGATCACCTTTCTTTAGAATGGGCACAAATATGGATCTCTTCCAGTTGGTTGGCCAGGCAGCTATCTTCCAACCAAGTGAGCACTTCTAGCACTGCATGTGTTTGCTGAAACACCTCAATTGGTATTCTGTGAATTCCTGGAGCCTTGTTTTTTTGCCAATGCCTTCTGTGTAGCTTGGACTTCTTCCTTCAGTACCATCGGTTCTTGATCATATGCTACCTCCTGAAGTGGTTGAATGACAACCAATTCTTTTTGATACAGTGACTCTGTATTCCTTCTATCTTTTGATGCTTCCTGCATCGCTCAATATTCTGCCAATGGAATCCTTCAATACTGCAACTTGAGGCTTGAATTTTTCATCAGTTCTTCAGCTTGAGAAATGCCAAGTGGGTTCTTTCCTTTTGGTTTTCTAACCCCAGGTCTTTGCACATTTCGTTATAATACTTTACTTTGTCTTGTCAAGCCACCCTTTGAAATTTTCTGTTCAGCTCTCTTACTTATTTCTTCTTTCACTTCAGCTATTCTACATTCAAGAGCAAGCTTCAGAGTCTCTTCTGGTATCCATCTTTGTCTTTTCTTTCCTGTCTTTTCAATGACCTCTTGCTTTCTTCATGTTTGATGTCCCTGATGTCATTCCACAACTCGTCTGGTCTTGAGTCATTAGTGTTCAATGTGTTAAATCTATTCTTGGGATGGTCTCTAAATTCAGGTGGGATATATACTCAAGGTCATACTTTGGCTCTTGTGGACTTGTTCCAATTTTCTTCAGCTTCAACTTGAACTTGCATATGAGCAATGGAATGTCTGTACCGTAGTCAGCCCCTGGCCTTGTTCTGACTGATGATATTGAGCTTTTCCATTATCTTTTTCCACAGATGTGGTCGATTTGATTCCTGTTTATTCTATCTGGTTGAGGTCCACATGCACAGTCACGGTTTATTTTGTTGAAAAAAAGGTATTTCCAGTGAATAGGTCGTTAAGTCTTGCAAAATTCTACCATGCCCTCTCCAGCGTTGTTTCTATCACCAAGGCTATATTTTCCAACCACTGTTCCCTCGTCTTTGTTTCCGACTTTTGTACTGCAATCACCAGTAATTATCAATGCATCTTGATTATATGTTTGATCGATTTTAGACTGCAAAAGTTGGCAAAAATCTTCAATTTCTTCATCTTTGTCCTTAGTGGTTGGTGCATAAACTTGATTAATAGTCATATTAACTCGTCATCCTTGTAGGTGTATGGATATTATCCTATCACACACAGCAATGTACTTCATGATAGCTCTTGAAATGTTCTTTTTGACAATGAATATGACTCCATTCCTCTTCAATTGGTCATTCCTAGCATAGTAGACCATATGACTGTCTGACTGAAAATGGCCAATACCAGTCCATTTCAGCTCACTAATGCCTAGAATACTGATTTTTATGCATTCCATTTCTGAAGTTTCCAGTTTTCCTAGATTCATACTTTGTAATTCCACGTTCCTATTAATAGATGTTTGCAGCTTTTTTTTCTCATTTTGAGTCATGTCACATCAGCAAATGAAGGTCCTGAGAGCTTCACTCAATCTACGTCATTAAGGTTGACTCTACTTTGAGAAGGCAGCTCTTCCCCAGTCATATTTTGAATGCCTTCCAACTTGAGGGGCTCATCATCCGGCACTGTATCAATGTTTTGCTGCTATTCATAAGTTCACTGGCTAATTTTTTTCTGAAGTAGACCACCAGGTCATTCTTCCTAGTTGGTCTTAGTCTCGAAGCTTGCTGAAACCTGTCCACTATGGGTGACCCCCCTGGTATTTGAAATACTGGTGGCACAGCTTCCAGCATTACAGCAATACGCAAGCCACCACAGTAGGTGTTTCCCTTTATGGCTGAGTACTATTCCATTGTATGTACATACCACATTTTGTTTATCCATTCATCTGTTGATAGACATTCTGGTTGTTTCCACATTTTAGTTATTGTGAAAAGTCCTATAGTGAACATTGGTGTACATATTCCACAATTTTTTGGGAAGCAGCTTGCCGGGCCTTTCTTCTGAGGTGTCTCTGGATGGACTCAAACTTCCAATCTTTCAGTTAGCAGCCCAACACATTAATAGTTTGCACCACCCCGGGACTCCAGACTAGTTGCTGTTGAGTCAATTCCAACTCATGGTGACCCCATCTGTGTCAGAATAAAACTGTGGTCTAGGTTTTCAGTGGCTGAATTTTTGGAAGTAGATCACCAGGCCTTTCTTCCAAAGTGCTTCTGGGTGGACTTGAACAGCCAACCTTTTGGTTAGTAGCTAAGTGTGTTAACTGGTAGGGCCACCCAAAGAGTCCATTAGTCATTTCTGTGTGCCATCACGTCGATTTCGACTCATAGCGACTCTGTAGGGTGGAGGAGAACTGCCCCGTAGGGTTTCCTAGGTTAAGAGCATTAGTCATTAGGGAGCTACAAATCAAAACCACAATGAGATACCACTTCATACCCACTAGGATGGCTATTATCAGAAAAATAACAAGTGTTTGTGAGGATATGGAGAAATTAGAACCTTCATCCATTGCTGGTGGAACTGTAAAATGGTAAAGCCAATGGAAAACAGTATGGCATTTCCTCAAAGTTAAAAACACAACTACTGTAAGACCTTGCAATTCTAATTCCAGGTATATACCCAAAAGAAATGAAAGCAGAGATACTTGTACACCAATGCTCACAACAGCCAAAAGGTAGTGTCCATTAACAGGTGAAAGGATAAACAAAATATAATCTATACATACAAAAGAATATTAAGCCTTGAAGAGAAATGAAGTTCTAATACTTGCTACGACATAGATGAACGTTGAGAACATTATGCTGAATTAAGTCAGACACAAAGGACAAATATTGGATGATCCTACTTCCATGAAATATCTAGAATAGGTAAATGCATAGAGACAAAAGTTTATTAGTGGTTATCAAGGGCAGCGGAGAGAGGGTAGTTATTCCTTAAGGGGTACTGAGTTCCTGTTTAGGGTGATGAAAATATTTTGGAAACGGATAGTACTAATAATTGTACAACATGGTGAATGCAATTTATGTCACAGAATTATACACTTAAAAATGGTTTAAACGGCAAATTTTGTGTTATATTCCATCACCATTCCAAGGCATTCCCTTACCTCTTAGGTTCATTTGATGAGCTGGTGTGCCACTGGATTCTTCTTTGCTCTTATAGCAAGAAATAGATGTATCTTTAAAGGTGCACCAGTACTGTTTGTAACCTTTTAGAGTTAGCTTTTTTGGCCTGTGTCAAATAGAATTAAGAAAAAAACCATTTTGGAAGTAACTTTATCAATGCTATCTTTTAGTACCATAAAATATATACTACTACATAGCAGACTTTTAAAAGCCCGAGGCCAAATTTTACATATGCTGAATTCAGTTCCCTTCAGTTAGAGTCTTATATTCAATACTGTACCTATTTGATCTGCCCCTCCTTTCTAAATCTAACCTACCTACTCAGGAAGATCTCACAAACAGTAAGCAGGTAGAAAAGAATAGGGCCCACATTTTAGTCCTTCTGTCAGTTGTATCCACTTCATTTACCATAAGTGGGTCACATGGAAAGGACAGGAAAACAAAGGTAACTTCAATATTTGGACGTTTCCTAGGTCCCATAATTAGCTGCAGGTTCATGGGTGTGCTGTAGGGCTGCCTGTGAAGCCTGTATTTTACCTGACAGGATTGAAGTGGGGGAAGTACTTATTGCCCTCAGGGATATATTTCCGTGGTGACATCAACTTGCCACTCCAATGTCAAACACAGAAAGTAATGGAGAGAGCCATGAGGGAAAGGGGATGAGGAAGGTGCAGGCAGACTAAAAAGGCATATTAAGGGAGAAGGAGGGGGTAGGGTAGTGACATCTGAAATCTAGGTTATCTCAGAAATGCTACATATTTTGAGCTGTTTTATGTTCAGCTACAGTGAATGATTTATTCCATAATGGCTTTAAACCTTACATAGTAGAAAAAGTATATTCCATATCACCTCCTTTTCTTTTTCCCCGTTCTCTCTTAATTCCCAGCTCTCCTGATTCTGTGGAATATGGCTGGATTGATTGATTAAAAGTCTAAATACTGGAACCTTACTATAAAATGCCTCATGAACAAATGAACAAAATACAATAGAATCTGGGGCTCTGAACAAGGCCACTACAAGTAACAGTTCATTACTTACTGCTGTGTGTCACCTGAGGACTCAGAGGGGACACTTTATACTGAAATGCCACTGTATTTCTACGTTTCAGCTTCTCTATGACACAATCTAGGTTTCACAATTTTTTTTTAAAGAAAAGTGTTTATCAGATGAAACAGCTTAGTGAGTAATATGATTTTAATTTGGCAAAGATGGTTATTTTCTCAAATTATACTATTTACCTAATTGATAAATACCATCTTTTACAGATGGATTTATCAAACTTAAGTAAATGGGAAAATGACTGTATAACACTTATTCATTAACACTTGGAATCCTTTCCTTTTTTGTACTTACTTGAAAACTTTAATATAGTCAGCAAGTTCAGGAATGGAAGTGATGTCACCCTAGGAAGAGAGTTAAACCATTAAAATTTTTTTAATTTTCAATTTTTTCTAATGTTTAGTATCTGACATCAAGAACCAGTTTACTTAATAAAGAAATACAATTACATAAAATACAGATTATAAAGTCATATGGATTATATGATCATATGGACTATATCATTTTCAAATGGCAGAAAAAGCTAATAAACATTTGATCAAAATAGCAATTTATACAACCCACAGGAATATATTATGATGTTACTTCTAACACAGTCAAAACTGTCTGTAGTTACACATAGCAATTTTGCAAATCATAACCACCCTAAGTGTTTTCTTTAAAAGAAAATATCTACTACCATCGAGTTAATTCTGACTCATAGCAACCCTATAGGACAGAGTAGAACTGCCTTGTTGGGATTCCAAGGCTGTAATCATTAACAGAAGCAGACCACCACGTCTTCCTCCCACAGAGTGGATGTTGGGTTCGAACCACTGACCTTTTGGTTAGCAGCCGAGTGCTTAACCACTGCACCACCAGGGCTCCTTCAGCAATAACTAATTCCTAAGCTTTCAAACCAAACTTAGCATTTAAAAATTTTCCTGAGACCTATATTCTCTTCTTTCTATAATATTCCAAATGTGTATATCACTAAATTTATTTAAGGTTTTTACAATGGCTTGAGATTAAGCTTTCCTCTGTAGAAATGTTCTCTCTCCACTTCTAAAAGAATGTGCAGAGTGTCAGAGTAAGGCTCTATCTTTGCTGTGTTGGGAGCAATAAACTTAAAGAGCACTCATAAAAAATTTTCCCTGAAAGTGCCTGAAAAATCAATGTCTGACTTCTCTAAAGCATTGTTTCTCCCCACCCCCTCTGTGAGAACCTAATCTATACAGAGACAAGCATCAAATCTAAAGTAATTACTCAAAGAATGCTTAGACACCATCAACTCAAATTAGTAGGTAAAAAGATTCACCCTACCAAAATTGTTGATGTTTTACCCCCTTCCAAAGTAATCTCCAGGTCCGAAAGGGCAGCATCAACTTCATCCACTTCTTTGTCACTGTTGTTCAAATGATTCTCTGATGTCATGATTGACAGCTTATTGATATGATACTAAAACCAGAAATGACATTTTATTAAAAAGACTGTAATAACTGTAAAACAACTTTAAAAAAGATAATTTAAGTGTCCAGGAACTAGAACAATAGGAAAATCAAGGGTACAGCACCAGAAATCAATGTCCTAGGCCGGCTAATAAATATTATCCATAGGAGGCAGGGTCTCTGGACATATACAAATGAATTACTAGTCTGGGAGGCCTTAGGACTGAGAGCACTGACACTTCCTCCACTAAGCTCTGCACAAGCAGCAGTATTCCCTGTGCCTAGAACAGGGCCTAGTATCAACGAATACTGAATGAAGGAAAAGAATATGCATAAGGTCTTTTGTAGAAATGGTTAACTTTGATTACCTTACATTACTACTAAAAGTTATCACGATTATGCTGAAAGCTAACGTTTCACTTTTCCCCTCACCTTCAATTCAAGCTGAAACAATGCCAAAACCAGATGATGTTTACATTCTCACTTACATAAGAATGATAAAGATATTTTATGTGTGAACACACACACATACACACATGAGTAGTGAGTGGTAATCACTACCTCTACATATAAACAGAAAAACCTGTGAGTATAGAAATAACCAGTCATTGCTTTTAAATGGAGTCCCTGGGTGGTGCAAACAGTTAATGCACTCGGCTGCTAACTGAAAGGTTTATTTTGTTTTAAAGCCCTTAGGTTCAAGTCCACCCAGAAGCACCTGGGAAGAAAGGCCAAGCGATCTCCTGAAAAATCAGCTACTGAAAACTCTATGGAACCTAGTTCTACACAGACACATATGGGTCACCATGAGTTGGAATCAACTCAGTGACAAGTGGTCACTGCTTTTAAGTATACTTAGGTAAGTGACTTACAACAAATAATAAATTTTTAGAATTTGGTCTAAATCGTAGAATTTACAAAAAGGTAATCAGAGCTCAGGTAACTTTCAAAGCACTAAGTAACACGCTCCAAATTCCTGAAGTATTCATTCACTGAATACAGTTTACTCATGGGAACATTTTAATGAACTAATCTGAGGCCAAATAATAATCAACGTTTCTCTGTGTTTCAAGATTTAGTGAACTAACAATGAATAGTCTTTGGCTATACCTTTAAAAACCAAAATCAAACAAACCTGTTGCCATCGAGTTGATTCCGACTCATAGTAACCCTACAGGACAGCGTAGAACTGCCCCATACGGTTTCCAAGGAGTGGCTGGTGGATTCCAACTGCCGACATTTTGGTTAGCAGCCAAGTTCTTAACTACTACGCCACTAGGGCTCTAGGCTATACCTTTAGTTGTGCCAAAATGAGATCCTTACAGTGGCGGAAACTTCCATGTTCACAAATAATGGAGAACAAGGTAGGCTGAGACCCTCAGTCAGTGGCACCCAAATTCAGAGTATATTAAGAGTCATATGGAGAGTAAGTTAAAAATATAGATCTCTAGGTTTACCTCTAGAGATTCTGATTCAGCAAATCTAGGGTCCAATTTAGAGTATTATTACTAAGTGCCTTAAGTGATACTGATGCAAAAGGTTCTTTTGAGTCATCCTTGGAGAAACCCTGGCTGTGAATGTCATAAAATCCAGCTTGGCTTTCCAAGGTACATGGGACATCTGTTACAAATTACACTACATACTTGGACCTAAATGCTTTAAAAACAATGTTACTAACTTGCCCACTTTATTTTTTTATCCAGTTTCTCACTTTGAAGAAATTTTTTTATTATCATTTTACCTAGATGTCTTAAACACGGGAGGAACCAGAAGCCCCAAGGGGAGGATACTTTCGAGTATGGGCTATGTCTCAGATAGTAAATACTATGCAATTCTTCACCATACTTCCAAACAGTTTTCTTTTCTGGTACTGGATGGCTTCCTACAGCCTTCAGGTCTGTCTCTGGAATGCCTTCTAACAACTCAGGGGATTTGTTGTCTAAAATTCTCTCATTACATCTAGATTAGAAGGATATGTTTTGAGACCATTCAGTCTCCATAAATTAACTGAGGTGTTTATACTGTACTAAAATGGAATATCCACTATGTACAAGCAGGCTGGGGGCTGCTGCAGAACTTTCTGTGAAAACACCATGATATATATACTCATCCGACGTATTCTTTTTGAGCATCTACTATGTGTCAGGTATTGTATGGATCTGTTGGTTTTTTAAAAAAATGCATTACTTTTATAATAAAAAAAAGATAAAAAAAAGTACGACATAATAAAAGCTTTGGTCTAATATATATTTTACATGTAGTATTCTTCTTATAGGGGCCGAACTTCCACTGGAAAATTATGAGCCCTTATTCAAAGTGAGGAAAACACAGGTAAAAAGTCATAACCAGAGGATGGACTCTCAATATAACTGCTCCAGAATTTAACTCAAGAAATTCTTCAGGAACTAGATGGTGCCCGGCTACCACCAATGACTGCCCTGACAGGGAACACAACAGAGAGTCCCAGATGGAGCAGGAGAAAGGTGGGGTGCAGAACTCAAAATCTAGTAAAAGACCTGACTCAATGGTCTGACTAAGACTGGAGGAAGCCTGGAAGACATGACCCCAGACTCTGTTAGCCCAAAACTAAAATCATTTCTGAAGCCAACTCTTCAGACAAAGATTAGACTGGACTATGTATCGGACATAAAATGATACATTGTGAGGAGTGCTTCTTAGCTCAAGAAGATACATGAGACTAACTGGGCAGCCCCTGTCCGGAGATGAGATGAGAAGGCAAAGAGGGTCAGGAGCTGGTTGAATGGACACAGGAAATCTGGAGTGGAAAGGAGGAGTGTGCTGTCACATTATAGGGATAGCAACTAGGGTCACATAGCAAAGTGTGTATAAATTTTTATATGAGAAACTGACTTGAACTGTAAACTTTCACTTAAAGCACAATTAAAAAAAAAAAATTCTTCAGATAGTCTGAATGATCCAGAAACACAATAGGATTCTTAAGTAGTTGATTCCCTCCTTTAAATGCAGTCTCTAGAAAAATAAGCAGTTAAACTAATTCATTTGTCAACAATGATTTCCCTGCCTGTGCTTCTTCTCCCTTCTTGCATCATATAAACTAAGGAGAAATCAGCTGTTCTTGTTCTGTAAAGGACTTTTTTAACTGAAAATCTTTTCTAGGTACATAAAAGCATATAGAAGATAGAGACCATTTTGTTTTCTAAGGAAAAAAATGAAGTTGGTTTTATAATGTAGGTTTTTCATAACTGAATATCAACTTTGCTTCCTGTACTTCTGTTATTTAAAGAACATTAAGTTTATCTGAACTTTAGGCAAAACCAGAATTCTACCATAATTCTGAATTAATCTGGTAGTCACTGGACTGCAGTGTCTCTTAAGAATTCTGACTTGTGGACAGCGGTGTTAAGAGAGGGGTGCAGAACGCCATCTCCTGACACTGTCAGAGGTCAAGACACCAAAATGACCCCAGGGTCTGCGGTGCTGCTGGCAGAGGGGCCATCAAGGCGGTAGCATCACTAGGACTTATGTCATCTACCAGTCACCAGGGTTGGTGTCAACCAGGGCAGTAACTCATCACCACCCCCCTACACACTCCTCCTTCCTGTCACCTGCCAGTCAGGGTGTGGGCAGCTGGATAGAGGTGGCCACCATTGGGTAGAGAGGAGGATCGTCGACTTAGCCAATGGCGAGAGGGGAGGAGCTGCTGGGGGCAGGACTGGGTTTGCCAGCTGGCCCTGCCCATCCCAAATGCGTGTGTGACATTGAGTTACCACACTCGGTGACACCAACCCTAATGATGCCACTGCCTGTGGTTCTGCCCATAAAGCCATTTTAAAAGGAGCAGTGGTAATGAAGTATACAATTCATTTCTTAAACGGACACCACCATCCATAATTCTGAAGCAGAGGGTATGCAAGGACCACACCTGGAAAAAAACATTGGTTTAATCTAAGAAAAACAGTAGCTACTTATTTCTTTAAGTTCTTTATGTAATTTTATCTCCAAGGGAAAACTGGGTAGCTTTAAAGAGTAACATACACCTGGACGTGGGAGGCTAATTTTTCTCCTAAAGTATAAAGATAAGTAACTATTAAGTATGTCACTAAAATCTTAACAAATTTCATCTAAATTCACATACTTATTTTGTTTTCCTAAGTATCTACTCATTTACTACATAACAAAAAATAAATACGACCGATCAAAAAACTACTGGGATTACTATGCCACTTCACTATTTAAAAATAGCTTACTACCCTTTCCCACCAAAAGTCCCATTTACCAATTCTTTCAACTACCTGCAAAGCTGCAAACATCATCATTTCTTCTTCTGTGCATTCAATTTCTTCTAGGAGAATAGCCCATTTGGCTTGCTCATAAAGCTGATTGATTCTGATGGCATCATACTGAAGCAAAAAAGACACAGTACATATGTAACATATCTTTAACATTAAAAAGTATGAAAACTCTGAATATTCATATTTAAAGCTTAACAAGAAAAACTTAATATCTAAATGTTTTCTTGGATTTTTATTCACTATCAAGTACCCAATTATAAGAAAAAAGATATCTTTAGGGTTTTCACACATTACTCACACCTAATCGTGGCGTAGCGGTTAAGAGCTATGGCTGGTAACCAAAAGGTCGGTGGTTCGAATCCACCAGACACTCCTTGGAAACCCTATGGGGCAGTTCTACTCTGTCCTGTAGGGTGACTATGAATCAGAATTGACTCCACGGCAGTGGGTTTTGTGAATCTTCTATTAAAAGGTGACACTAAAATATGCCAAAAGATAATTTATTATGCAGTATTAGAAATGGGTTCTGAATATTAATTTCCAGGGAAATAACCATTAGATATTATAGCTCTTAACATAAAAAAACCACCATGCGTCTGTCAGTCTGTCGTACTGTGGTGGCTTGTGTATTGCTGTGATGCTTGAAGCTCTGCTACCGGTACTTCAAATACCAGCAGGGTCACCCATGGTGGACAGGTTTCAGCAGAGCTTCCAGACTAAGACAGACTAGAAAGAAGGACATGACGATCTACTTCTTAAAAAACTGGCCATTAAAAACCTTATGAATAGCAGAACATTGTGTGATAACAGTGCTGGAAGATCAGACCCTCCGGCTGGAAGGCACTCAAAATACGACTGGGGAAGAGCCGCCTCCTTAAAGTAGAGTTAACCTTAATGACGTGGATGGAGTTAAGCTTTTGGGACCTTCATTTGCTGATGTGGCTTGACTCAAAATGAGAAGAAACAGCTGCGAACATCCATTAATAATCGGAACGTGGACCGTACAAAGTATGAATCTAGGAAAATTGGAAGCTGTCAAAAATGAAGTGGAACGCATAAGATCAGCATCCTAGGCATTAGTAAGCTGAAATGGACTGGTATTGGCCATTTTGAATCAATCATATGGTCTACTATGTCGGGAATGACAAATGAAGAAGAATGGTGTCATATTCTTTGTCAAAAAGAACATTTCAAGATCTAAGGTAAAGGCTGTCGGTGATAGGATAATATCCGTACATCTACAAGGAATACCAGTTTATACAACTAGGAATACCAGTTTATACAACTATTATTCAAATTTATGCACCAATCACAAATGTGAAAGATGAAGAAACTGAAGATTTTTACCAACTTCTGCAGTCTGAAATTGATCAAATATGCAATCAAGTTGCATTGATAATTACTAGTGATTGGAACGGGAAACTTGGAAACAAAGATGGATCAGCAGTTGGAAAACATGGCCTTGGTAAGAGAAACGATACTGGATAGTGCGTGTTAGAATTCTGCAAGACCAATGATCTATTCATTGGAAATACCATTTTTCAACAATACAGAGGAACCAAATCAACTACACCTGTGGAAAGGGATGATAGAGAAGCTCAATATCATCAGTGAGAACAAGGCCAGGGGTCGACTGCAGAAGAGACTTACAATTGCTCAGATGCAAATTCAAGTTGAAGCTGAAGAAAAGTGGAACAAGTCCACATCGAATTTTCTATTAAAGATGATGCTAAAATATGCCAAAAGATAATTGGTTATCTTTTGGTTGAGCTAAAGTGTGACCTTTGAGTATATCCCACCTGAATTTAGAGATCATCTCAAGAACAGATTTGATACAGTGAACATCAGATTAATGGCCAAAGACCAGATGAGTTGTGGAATGACATCAAGGACATCATACGTGAAGAAACCATAAGATCATTAAAAAGAAAAGACAAAATGGATGTCAGAAAAGACTGACATTTGCTCTTGAATGTAGAGTAGCTAGCTAAAGTGAATGGAAGAAATGACAAAGTAAAGGAACTGAAAAGATTTCAAAGGGTGGCTTAAGGGGATAAAGTACAGCATCATCATAAAATGTGCAAAGACCTGGAATTAGAAAATCAAAAGGGAGAACATGCTCAATTTTTTTCAAGTTGAAAGAACTGAAGAAAAAATTCAAGCCTCGAGTTGCAATATTGAAGGATTCTATGCACAAAATACTGAACGACACAAGAAACATCAAAAGAAAATGGAAACAATACAGAGAGTCACTGTACCAAAAATAACTGGTTGACATTCAACCATTTTTCAGGAGGTAGCATATGATCAAGAACCAATGGTACTGAAAGAAGTCGAAGCTCCACTGAAGGCACTGGCAAAAACAAACCTCCAGGAATTGACGGAATAATTGAGATGTTTCAACAAATGCATGCAATGCTGGAGGCACTCACTCGTCTATGCGAAGAAATTTGGAAGACAGCTACCTGGCCAACCGACAGGAAGAGATCCAAATTTCTGCCCATTCCAAAGAAAGGTGATCCAACAGAATGTGGAAATTTTTGGAAAATATCATTATCACACGCAAGCAAAATTCTGCTGAAGATAATTCAACAATGGTTGCAGCAGTACATTGACAGGGAACTGCCAGAAATTCAAGCCAGATTCAGAAGAGGATGTGGAACGAGGGATATCATCACTGATGTCAGATGAATCTTGACTAAAACCAGAGAATACCAGAAAGATGTTTACTTGCGTTTTATTGACTTATGCAAAGGCATTCGACTGTATGAATCGTAACAAATTATGGATAACACTGCAAGAATGGAAATTCCAGAACACTTGATTGTTGTCATGCGGAATCTGCACATAGAACAAGTGTCAGTCATTTGAACAACAAGGGGATACTGAGTGGTTTAAAATTAGGAAAGGTGTGCATCAGGATTGTATCCTTTCACCATACTTAGGTAATTGTATGATAAGCAAATAATCTGGAAGCTGGACTATGTGAAGAACGCAGCATTAGGATTGGAAGACTCATTAACAATCTGTGATATGCAGATGACACAATCTTGCTTGCTGAAAGTGAAGAGGACCTGAAGCACTCACTGATGAAGATCAAAGACTACAGGCTTCAGTATACAGGTTACACTTCAACATAAAGAAAACAAAAATCCTCACAACTGAACCAATAAGCAACATGATAAAATGAAGTTGTTAAGGATTTCATTTTACTTGGACCTACAATCAATGCCTGTGGAAGAAATCAAATGACATACTGCAATGGGCAAATCTTCTGCAAAAGATCTCATTAAAGTGTTCAAAATCAAAGACGTCACTCTGAGGACTAAGGTGCACCTGATCCAAGCCATGGTATTTTCAATCACCTCAAATGCATGTGAAAATTAGACAATGAATAAAGATGACCGAAGAAGTGATGTATTTGAATTATGGTGTTGGTAACGAATACTGAATATACCACAGACTGCTAAAAGAACAAACATGTCTCTCTTGGAAGAAGTACAGCCAAAGAGAGGATAGTGAGGCTTCATCTCACATACTTTGGAAATGTTATAAGGAGCGACCACTCCCTGGAGAAGAACATCATGCTTGGTTAAGGAGAGGGTCAGCAAAAAAGAGGAAGACCTACAACGAGATGGACTGATATAGAGGCTGCAACAATGGGCTCAAACATAGCAACGATTATGAGGATGGCTCAACCACGCAGTGTTGCATTCTGTTTTCCATAGGGTCGCTATGAGTTGCAACCAACCTGACATCACCCAACAACAACAACGTAAGAAATCTAACTTGAAGACATTAAAGTAAGGTAGAACTATTGATTGCTTTTTAGTATTGTTATTGCATCGTGTCAGACTAAAACGGTATAATCAAGACAATGATTTAATTATGTTTGGCAAAACCTTTGCTCACAGTGGAGAAGGATACCCAGACAAAGCTGCAGGTCTTGGAAATAGCTGTTACTTTAAGTATCCAAAATAGAAGGCACATTTATTTATACTCTGTGGAAAATAATTTACTTATGTTATGGATTTATCCATTTAATTCTGTTAATAAAGAACCAGCCAAACTAAACCCACTGCTGTAGAGCTGATTCTGACTCACAGCAACCCCACAGAGTTTCCAAGGCTGTAAACCTCTATGGAAGCAGACTGCCACATCTTTCTTCCATGGAGCTGCTGGTGGCTTCTGTCAACCTTTTGGTTAGCAGTTGATTGCTTTAACCACTGCACCACGAGGGCTCCTTTAACAAAGAAAAGTAATGTCTTCATTATAATAATACTTTCTTAGAATGTTGACAAAATATGTAACACCTCCCCCCAAATGTAACTCCGTTCCTAAAATAGCTTTGGTTTTACTAAAATTGGATATGAGACTGCCTTAAAGTGGAATAAAAATATTTTTACAGTTCTATTACATACACTTTACTTTTTCATAAAGAGTTAATCACATACTAAATATGATAAATTATAATCTAGACACGAAAAGGATAAGAAGGTACCCAAGAGAAGTGTTTCTCCCCAGGGGAGAAAAGGATCTAACCCTTTGTGCCAAGTGTTTTCTGGGGGAAAAGTCCAGATCTCTAATAGCAAATTCCAATTTTATCAGAAAAGCAAAGCAGAGATGATGCCAATCATTTGACAGTGAAAACATATCCCAAACAAAGTTTGCCTATTACATAGAAAGAAATGTAGACCTTAAAAACATGTGATTAAAATTTTTTTATACCAAGATCTTTTGGTATATAACTACAAATATGAAAGTAAGTGAAAAAGGTAATTGTTATGAAAAAAAAAATTAACCTAAAGTACAGTTGAAGAAAGGTGTACAAAAAATTAACTTTACTAATTCTTTAGTACACACACACACAAAAAAAAAAACACCAAACCAGTTGCTGTTGAGTCCATTCCGACTCACAGCAACCCTACAGGACAGAGTAGAAGTATTCCATGGAATTTAAAAGGAGCAGCTGGTGGATTCGAATTGCCAACCTTTTGGTTAGCAGCCAAAGGTCTTAACCACTGTACAACCAGGGCTCCATTACTACCTTTAAAACAAAAAAAAATAAACTACAAAAAAATATAAATTCTTTAAAAAAGTTTAATTATGCCTCCAATCTACTAAACAATGGACTTAAGTAAATCACCAATGCCTTTGCCTTAAAGCTTTGGGTTTTTAATGTTATTCAAGACTTGGTATATAAACTTAATTCCTTACCCCACTAACTTCCAAAAACAAATATCCACATAAACAGAAAACAAATCAACAAACCAAAAAAAGGAAAGAAACGAAATCCCTCTAAAGCCCCTCGGTACCTTTGGATTCAAATCAAAAAAGCTGTAATACTTGAATCGGAGCAGCAAGGCCTCATTTTCCTTCACGTCTTGTTCCATGAGAGATCTTGATGAATCAAGCCACCTGGTCAAATTAACAAGAGCAGTGAAAGATAGAGTTGATAAAATATTTCTATCTAGTCAGGGAAAGAAATTCTTCAAATGTGTATGTTGAAACTTACCCTTGGTTGATTTTTGCTTTATCAAGAAGAGCTTGAGGCTTGAACATTTTGGCCAAGATTTCCGGTGATGTGATTGGCTGACTGACGGCGAGTATTCCGGGATTGCCTTCTGACAAAGCACTGTCACCAAACCAAGCAGAAGTTGGAGACAAGGGACTTCCATCATGAGCATCATAAGTGGGGGTCATTGTTTTACTATAGAGTCCTGGGCTTGAATATATACTCCCTAATAAGTAACATGAAAAATAGGTAGTAAGTATGAAGTACAGAATCTTAATTTTCAATAATAAATGCTCTAATGATATAAAGCACATTGTGAAACACAAGCTTCATTCTGGAAAGAAAGCTTAGTATATTATTTTACCCATCTTGAGAACATGTGAAATTCACTGTAAATCTACTTATATAACATTAGAACATGTAATAATAGACATGAGAACAGAATTAACTTGGTGGAAATTCTGGGGGAGAAAAATCAGTTCAAGAGAATTAGAAGATAAGGATACAGCCAAAGCAGACAGACCAACAGTTTTTAATTGTGGCAAGGCTCACCTTTCAGAGGGCCAATGTAAAGAACATCAGTGCCTATAGGAAAGGAAAGAAAGGAATTCAGAAGGTAAAGGAAAGGCAACAATAGAGGACAGAAACAAAAGAATGAAAATGAAAAGAAACATGGGAAAAAGAAAAAAATAAGATGTTTCCTAACTGTGAATCATAAACTGAAGTATATCAAGTGGATTTAAGACTAAAGAACAACCTCACAAGCTATAATAACTTTGTCCAGTTCACAAGATCAAGTTGTGTTCTGGTCTAGCCTCTAGTGACAAACATATGTCTACAACATTTATTACCCTTTGAAGTCCACACTGTTTAAGACAGCTCAATGTAACTGAATAAACTCACATGAATCAAGAGAACAATCTTGTTTTCTCAGTGAGCAGCTAAACTGGTTCCATCAGGTTTACAAATAAAGTATTAAGGCAAAGGGTGGATAAAAGCTTGTTCTAGAAAGAAGCTAACAAAAGTACGTTTTACAATTAAACCCATGAAGAATGGGTATTGTCTTATTTATCTTCTGTTTCCTCAATATAATAGTGTTGGGCATACAGCAGAGGCCACATAAGTAAAAATTTGTTGAATTAGTCTGATGATATAGCTTCCTTCATTTAAATTACAATTAAGGAGACTGGGTTTAACTCAGACTTTTTAAAAAGTTCAAAATGACAGTTATTAAGTAAAAGCACTTATCCCCGCCAAAGTCCTATCTCTGTTGATTATATCTTGTCCTTTAGTCATAATTTTAAAAAAGAAAATATGTAATGCGTATAACATGTTAGTGTATGATGGAAAGAAAATAACTTATTCCCTTACCCAATTTTAGGAATATGCTTAGGAATCCTTCTCCTTTCCTCTATATATTTTTTTCTCATGCAATAATAGAAATAATTATCTGTGAAAAAGTGGTAGTTAATGCCAAAGATTTTTGTAGTTGTCATGATGTAAGTCTAAGAAGTTTAAAAAAAGAAAAAAAGTGACCTCTTGTTAGCCACAGACTATCTGATTTGATGTCTCTAGTATGTGTTCTTCCAATGTTGTTAACTAAAACAACTTGTAGAATGTAAACATTGTTAAACAAGCAATAAGGAATACTGTAAACTCTCTTTTTTTAGGATTTAAAAAAGAATACTGGGATATTTATTCATGACTTTGTTTAAAAGCTGGAACCTGAAACTAGACTGATAGTTTTCAAACTTACTACACTTGAGTGGCACCTTTGTGAAAGGGTTAATTGGGCACCCAAACTTATTAAAAGGGCTGAAAACATTATTCTAGCTTAGCTGGGCAAAGAATAATTCTGCAAAAGAGAGTACACATGTAGATAAGGTGTGGAAAATCATTAACTTTTATCATGAAGAGGCAGAATCTTTTATTTATCTCAAAGATCTATTAAATAAATCTTATTAAGAACACTAGAATACAGACGATTTGTTCCTAGTATGATGAAATATAATCACGAATCAGAAGTGAAAACTGACTATTTTCTTTATAAAGTTTTTAAAACAAATAGAAAATATGTTCCCCTAAATCACATATTTGCTAGAATCAGCCACCCACCCAAATCTCTTCCCTCTAAACTTCTTGTAGCGTATATAGTCTGTCTATATTTTGTATATTATCACTTCATTGTTCTAATTTGTTCTTGCTAGGCACTATATGGTACTAACTCATTTAATGTTCCCAACAACCCTATTATTCTCATTTTAGATGAGAAAACCGAAGCACAGAGCAGTTAAATAACGTGTCCAAGGGTCAAGAGCTAATAATTTGCAGAGCCAACCTATTAATTCGGCAGATGGGATGCAGCTATACAAACTGCCTCCCATGTATCCTTAATTATTCCCAATATTCCCACTTGGTGTGCAATTATTTGTTTAGAGTTTTGTTACTGATGCTATTACAATGTGTCAATAAACGTTTTTTGTACTTATTTCCTAATTCTAGCAGCACTGCTGGGTCAGAAGGTAAATGTATTTTAAATTCCTTTTAAATCTCAGTTGAGTGTCAACGCCAACTAGCATGGCTTACTGATTGCCCAATTTAAAACAGATTTGAAGCAGAAGGGATAAGATGAAGTAGCATAGAGGTTTCCCCTGCTATCTGAAAGTACAGCGTTCCTATGAAATCTTTCTTAAGCCAAAATGGCGTAAAGCCAAGACGCAATTACCACTAATTTATCTCATTGCCATGGAGTCAATTCTGACTCACAGTGACCCTGCAGGACAGAGTAGAACTGCCCCACAGGGTTTCCAAGGAGTGGCTCGTGGATTTGAACTGCTGACCTTTTGGTTAACAGACGAGCTCTTAACCACTGCGCCATAACACATAAAACCTAAAATAACGCTAACATATAGTAAAAGCTGAGATAGATACTGAGTGTTTAAGAGAAGGTAAAGTTAAAATAAGTTCCCAGGGAAGGAGCCTGGCAGTGCCACTCATGCTGTGCGCTGTCTCTTTAATGGCTCGCTGCAAAACAAACGCTGAAGACTACTTCTACTTTTCACCTTTTTTCCTAAAAGCAAACCTCTTCGGATTTCTTTTGATAAGCTAAAACAGGTACTTTTGTAGGTCTTTAGTAAAAGCGATGTGGTGTAAAGCAAACTTTCGGAAAGTGGGGGATGCCAATATTTACTTTAGTTGCAAACAAAAAAAATTATCGCTGAACTACATGGAAAGATAACCCATAAACCATAAAAAGGGGAAATAAAGCATTTTAAAAGTCTAGCGCCCATTCTACTTATTGAATTGTTTGTAAAAAAAAAAAAAAAAAAAAGTCTAGCACCAGCCAGTATAGGTATTAAAAACCATAGTTGTGCCTGAGAGTTCTGCTATATGTTAACACAGTAAAAAAAAATTTTTATTGTACTTTAGATGAAGTATACATATTGTTTTCTGACAATGGTTAACAACCCCACGGCATGTCAACACGGTCCCTTCTTAACCTTGGGTTCCCTATTACCAGCTTTCCTGTTTCCACTTGCCTTCTAGTCCTTGTCCCTGGACTGTTGTGCCCCTTTAGTCTCATTTTGTTTTATGGGCCTGTCTGATCTTTGGCTGAAGGGTGAACCTCAGGAGTGACTTCAGTACTGAGCTAAAAGGGTGTCTGGGGGCCATACTCTCAGGGTTTCTTCAGTCTCTGTCTGGCCAGTAAATCTGGTCATTTTTTGTGAGTTAGAATTTTGTTCTACATTTTTCTCCAGCTCTGTCCAGGACCCTCTGTTGTGATCCTGGTCAAAGCAGTCAGTGGTGGTAGCTGGGCACCATCTAGTTGTACTGGACTCAGTCTGATGAAGGTCGTGGTAGTTGTGGTCCGTTAGTCCTCTAGACTAATCTTTTCCTTGTATCTTGTTTTCCTCATTCTCCCTTGCTCCCGAAGGGGTGAGACCAGTGGAGTATCTTAGATGGCTGCTCACAGGCTTTTAAGACTCCAGACACTACTCACCAAGGTAGAATGTAGAACATTTTCTTTATAAACTGTGTTATGCCAATTGAGCTAGATGTTCCCCGAGAACATAATATCAGGTAAAATTTACCTGGTAACTCAGTTATTATAAATTATATTCTCACACATATCCTTTCTATAAGAGAATACACTAAAGTAATATGTTTTAGAAAACTTTCCATCAAAATAGTTATCTTACACCATTCATAAAAATAAATTACAGGCAAATTAAAATATATAAGTATAAAAATAATTATAAAAGTACTGAAAGATTTGCAGCATTCAATACCAGGAAAAAGGCAGGAAAGGAGCATTTTCATATAATGTTGATGGGAGTGTAAAACCACAGAAACTTTGTAGTAGATAGAAAAATTAGACACCACCTACATAGAGAAACAGGTAGATAGTCTTCCTATATGGAAAACTCTGAAGCCATTTATTAGAACTAGGGAGACCTCAGGAGCTCTGGTGGGGCAGTGGTTAAAAGCACTTGGCTGCTAACTGAAAGGTCAGTAGCTCAAACCCACCAGCTGCCCATGAGAAAGACGTGGCAGTCTGCTTCCGTAAAGATTTACAGCCTTAGAAACCCTACGGGCAGGTTCTACTCTGTCCTACAGGATGAGTCAGAGTCAATTCAACAGCAGTGGGTTTGGTTTTTTTGGTTTAGGGAGATCTCTATGTTCTCACACAGAAAGATCACAAAAACATACTGTTCAGTAAAAAAAAAAGCAAGTTGCAGGACAATATACAATGCAAAGATCTCACTTATGTTAAAAAACAAAAAACAAAAAAACTAGACACGCAGTGTATTTCCACACAGGTATATAAGCACATATAAAGGGTACTGGTAAATTGTACTCCAACCTGTTTACAACACAGCTGTTCACAGCAATCAAGAAAAGTTGCTTCTTGGGAGGGAGTGCTCAGTACAAGCTGCAAGACAATTGAGCAGTTTAGGAATAGCACAAAGATGGAACCACAAAGGTGCAAGTTAGTATCTAAAGTAGAGGTTAACTTCTAAAGGCAAAGTGTAAAGTAAAACAGCACACAATCAAAATTATCCTTGGAAAATCTGTTAAACAGCCATAAACTACACTATCTTTGCACACCATATGAAGTGCAGCAAGAGCCCTTTTCATCACTTCACAGATTGACCTGTTTATCCATTCACCTCAATTCTCCCGCTATGAAAACCACTACAACACCTTAAATTTGCAGCTGGTAAATGATTCTCTGTAAACCCACTATCTCAGGCATGTAGTGCTGGTATAACAGAAATACCACAAGTGGATAACTTCAACAAAGAGAAATT